AGATTTCGATATTGACATATTGCTGCATGCAAGCAAACATAATAATCGCATTTCATTTGAAAAATAACTTTCTCTTGAATATGCATTCACCGCGTCTAAATTAAATTCAAGGCATTAGCCATCCGTAGGAAAAAACGTTTTTCTGCTCAAAGTAGAGATAAACATTTGTACTAAAAGAACATTAAGAATTCGCTGTCTCATTCAAAAGACACCGAGATGGTGACTGAAATTTTTTTTACCATATACCTGTAGACTATGATATCTCTTTCCTTTTATTGCGTACTAGCCGCAATTACTTTTTAAGTAAACTATAGCTTGCAACATTCTGGTCTTTATGGCCTTGTCCTGCTCGAAACCGAGTTAAAGTTTTCTAAAGTACTCCTTTCATGGCACATTTAGCATTATTGACGCTGTTATTGTTTGAACATGCAAAGAGCTTGTCAAATAAAAGTGAATCAAATAAATTTTCCATCGTTAAAATTCTGTTTTTACGTCAACTATAATAAAGCGTTTTCGCACGACGTCACGGCATATTGTTGTCCCAAGACCATGAAACAGCGGCCATTTCGGTGCCTCAAACCAGTCCTTTGGGAGTTGATCCTTTTTTGTAAGGTAAAAACTGTCTTTTGTTTAAACAAATTTGCATAGCTGCTGACCACGTGAGCGACAAAGCTCTATTAATCGAACGTTTAAACGCCATTTTAACTGCAAACTGAATCCGCCTCGTGTTTGCCTCGCTGTAATTATGCGGTGAAAACGAAGAGAAAATAAACATTGGGAAATTTAATGCACACATGCTTTCATACGAATTGTATGTGAGACATTTTTTTTAAGTTCGCTTCCTTGGGGATATATAGCGGTAGCTTGATTGTCTACCAAACCCGCTGCATTTGGCCGTTCACATTGTGCGTTGAATGAGGAAAATTATGGCTGTTTTCACGTGGGCCATTTTAGGGCTTGCGCAGTACTCCAGTGGTGAATTAGGGCTGGATCCATGTCCAAAAATGTTCGTCTTACGGTTGGTTGTAATTTGACAAATTTTCATGTTTCTATCTTAAAAGTGAACAATTCTGGTCTGTAACAGCTGGGCTATAAAGCGTTTTCGAGTTCTGTCAGGTTAGACAAATTAGTTTAATGTAACGAAAACCACGAATCAGAAACCATATCGGCATCAGGTACCAAGCCAATCTCGTGCCAATAAACAAACACAGCTGCCAGTTGACTTGAGTTGAAACATATATTGGCTGCTCGAACGACATGTTCAAGTGCTAAAAATGGTGCCCTATTCATGCTCGCAGCCGTTAGTCTTCATGCTTGTAAATTTTTAAGAGAATTACTGAGCACAAAATTTAACAAGAGAGAATACTGTATATACATTTTTTACCCAAATGCATGCGGCGGAAAAACCTTTACAGATGGTTTTGACAGCTTATGAATTCATAGGTTTTCCCCTATTTTTCCTTGAAAATGTTTCAGTGGGTCTCCCTACATGAAAATATTTTTGGCTTGCTAGTAAGGTTAAAAAATTGGTCTTAATGAAACTATACTATATTCCCCAGAAAGAAAACTTTCATGAAAAAATTTTCGAGAATTTAGCTATACCTCGAGGGGTTGTCCTCTTTTTAGAATTAAAAAAAAAATCAACATTCGCAAGAACGTTAACTCAGGCATTTGCCTGAAAAGGAAGGAAACAAAAATGTCTGCTCCAGTCCAATTTCAAGCAATGCCTGATCTAGAAAAGTCAACACTCTAATATTATGCCTATTACAATGCTCTATTTTAAGCTTTCTTCGATGTTAATGTTTGATGTTTACAATAACACTGCCCCTCATAATATTTCACATCTCTTTATTCCTACTCAACAAATCCACTCTTACAGCACTCGCTCCTCCTCTTCTGGAAATTATTACATTAGCCACTCTAGACTAAATCAGAAAAATGATTCGTTTTCTATTATGGGAGCCAAAATTTGGAATAGTATACCTGAAAATTTACGAAATTCTTCAAAATCTCTCTTTAAGGAAAAAGTTCATACAATTCTGTTGAAAATATTTGAAGTTCAGGATAGATATGCTGACCTAAACACGATAATCTCCGATTTTAAAAAATATTAGCCCCCGCTTATCTAAATAGCTGCCTCGATTTTCTTATCTCAATTTCTCTCGTGACTGACCTTTTTTATTATAAATATGGTTCTTCTTCACTTCAAGTTTTCGTAATAAATCTTAAGCCGTCTACACACCACCTGCCTCGATTAGCCTTGCTATTTGCAGGTGGTGTGATATTTGTATATTTAATGTAAGAAATAAAGATGTTGTTGTCAAGATGGCCTTGCATTGGGTGTATGATATAAATACACAAAAACACCCAAGTAATACTATCACTGAAAGTGAAGCATGATCATCGCCGCAAATTTTGCAAAGCAACTGGAAAGAAGAAGCCTGAAAAAATCAGGGCTTCAACGGGATTCGAACCCGTAACCTCCGCGTTACCGGTGCGTTGCTCTACCAACTGAGCTATGAAGCCACACATTGGGAGCGAGGTCAATTTATTGAGTTCATATCTCCCGTGAGGAGTGAAATGATGTGAAGTATACATGAAATTCATAGCTCAGTTGGTAGAGCAACGCACCGGTAACGCGGAGGTCACGGGTTCGAATCACGTTGAAGCCCTGATGTTTTTTCAGGCGGTGATCATTCTTCACTTGCATCTACAACCGCAGTTCAAAAATGAATTATTTCATGTATACTTCACAGCAATATTATCACTGCATCAAAAATCTTCTAAAGGGAGCTGGCAAATAATGCATGTCGATCAACGTGGTCCGGCTACTCTCCGAAATTTATTTTGAGCCATATTATCATTCTTAGACAATTATATGACACACAACTTTAGTCACTTTAGGGCCGTGCTGACCTGGACAACACTTTTGTTAGCTTGGAGTCCAATTTAATCTTCTGTAGTGCTCTTTTTGATGTTCAATCTTTTACTGAGTATATATGCTTATCCCGTCCTAGGGGAAGTGTATTTTATTGTATTTGGCTAAAATCCGTGTCTTATGAGTCATATGAGAAAGTGTGAAAGCAATTCAGTTAAGAAGTGATATCTAATGCGTGTGTTCTACAGCTTACTGTACATGTGTCTCTATAAGTGAAAGTTTTACAAAAGAGTGGTAACCGAATTTAGTTTTTTGCGCTATGACAATGATTCCAATAAAAAGTGAAAAGAGAACGAAAAACAATGTCCAAATACATGTTAAGAAACCAAGCTTTCCTTCATGATGGTTTGGAGGCGATTAGCGATTGGCGGCTTTTAACGTTTTGTTCAATATATTTATTCTATTACTTCGAAATACTGTTTTAATGTTCCAAAACATGTGTCGACGTAGCCTGTTCTAAGCGTTCGGATAGGACAAGGAAAACTACGAATGTAACGACATACAAACAAAATGAACCTTCTATTATATTATTAGTGGATAGCAAAAGACTTGATTAACCTGCGCTGGTTTATGATATGGCCAGATAGGAAAAATTGATTTGGAGTTACACACGAACTTTGTTACGCCGTTTTCTTGCAAATTGCAGATCAATTTTCCCTGGCAATGACTGTACCTTTTCCCATTTATACTTTATTATGCAGCAATCAAATGAATAAACGTGAATATATTTAGAAATGATTTGCAAGAGTTCTTTTTAGTTCTGTTAATTAAGCATTTTTCTATCTGCATGACTGAAAATAGAGTTCGCAAAAATAGAGTAAGCAAAAAATAAAGTCTTGAGGACAGTCTTACTCTCTACTAATCGCTAACCAGCTCCGAGATCCTCAATCCTTAATTGTATGGAGATTTGGATTAGATTAATTTAAGGACAAAATTTAAAATTGGGATGTCGGTGTTTCGCCACGTTTTTTTGCGGTGATGCGGTGTTTGTTATTTTCAGTTTCCGCGGTGTTGCGGTGTGGACAGTCCCCCAATGTCCCCCTCCTTATTATACCATAAACCCTTACAGAACTGTAATAAATTCAACCCGTAATTTATAAATGGAAAAAGAAAACAAACTTGTTATGCGTTCTAACAACGTCTTTCAATATAGCAAGATTCGAACACGAAAACGAAATGCAAAGAAAAGCATTAAAACAGTAAAAAATTGGAATCCAGCCCTTTTTTGGAATCCGGAATCCACTGTACTGGAATCCGGAATCCAGTACCCGGAATCCGGAATCCACTGCGTGGAATCCAGAATCCAAGAATGTCCTGAATTCCCTTAAATGGGACGAAACCTCGCTAAAACCAAAGTGACCCCACATCTCCCAAAAAGGTGTTTATGAAAACAGCGCCCCTACGACTAGTAGTCGGGCAAACAGGACTTGTGACAGGCAAAGCCACCACAGGCTTCCCAACAAATAAGTTGGTGAGAAGGGTCACTTCTTCCTCTAACACCATAAGCAGCAAAAAGCACGGCAAAGTTAGCGACAACCAAAGCCACCACAGACACCCCAATAAGACTATTTGTTAGAATGGCTGGCAAATTACCAGATCATAGACGTTGTTATCTCTGCGATCTATTCAGGACAACCGTTCTTTACTGGCTTTCTTCATATGGAAAGACAGTCACGGTACTTGATGATGAAGCGAGGGAGGATCATGAATTTGGCGATAAGGTAATAAGTGAGACAAAAAAGTACTTTCCTGACCGTAAGCTTGAAGTTCTTTAAGAAGCTCCTCCAAGACACAGAAATACGTTGGATTTTCCAGCTTCGCTCAAGTCGCCAGGCTACAACCGGCAGCTTTGGAGCAGTTTTTTTATTGACTTGTATTCGAATGACTCCGTTATTGCGTGGATGGACACAGACGCCGCGTTTTTCACCCCAGTAACTAAGTCGTCGACTTTCAATGGCACAAAGCTACGAGTATTGGGAACAGGCTGCACATTCCAGTTGAGGTCTTGGGCACTGAAGGACTACAGAATTGGTCCTGGGGCTGCCATTTTGTCGTTGATTCC